CCAGGATGGTCTCGATCTCCTGACCTCGTGATCCGCCCGTCTCGGCCTCCCAAAGTGCTGGGATTACAGGCTTGAGCCACCGCACCCGGCCGGGGTTGAATTTTTATTTCATGCATGTATTAGGCAGTTGTAGATCCATGAGTAATTATCACAGAGAGCAATGTCATCATTCCTGTTAGCACTTGTGTGTGTGTGTGTGTATGTGTGTGTGTGTGTGCGTGTGTTGATTTTTAGTTTCTCTGTTTTTATTTTCTTTTGAGATGGAGTCTTGCTCTGTTACCCAAGTTGGAATGCAGTGGCATAATCTTGGCTCACTGCAGCCTCCACCTTCCAGGTTCAAGCAATTCTCCTGCCTCAGCCTCCTAAGTAGCTGGGATTACAGGAATACGCCACCACACCCAGCTAATTTTTGTATTTTTAGTAGAGATGGTGTTTTGCCACATTGGCCGGGCTGGTCTTGAACTCCTGACCTCAGGTGGTCCGCCCACCTCGGCCTCCCAAAGTGCTGGGATTACAGGGATGAGTCACCACACCCAGTCCTAAGTTTCAGTCTGGATGAGGCTACTTTAGGGGTGCATCATGGAGGGGAAGAATGTTTTCAGATTCAGCATTTCCCACAGAACCTTAGTCTTAATGAGGACTGTGTCCCTGTGGCACCTCCTTCCTCCCTCTCACCCGCAACCACACTGTGTGGCTCTTGCAGAATTGCCCCACCTCAGAGGAAAGGTCAGAGATTGAGATTTTCCTTAAACGGAAGCTCAAATGTGCACTGTCAGGCTGTCCTGGAGATAGTACAGTTTTATTCAGGAAGTACCAAGCCAAGCCAGCCGGCCCATGCCCTCTGCTTTCTCTTCTCAGGACACTTACATTCCTTTTTTCTCAGGGGAAGTGAGAGTGGGACGGGGGCCAGAAGAAGAAACTCGCTTCCCCATGAGGCCTGTGGCGGAGGCAGCATGGACTTCCCTGCTGAGCTTCTGACTGGGCTCCCCTGACTGCGGAGCCCTGGGGTCCTTGGAGCCAGCGAGGAATGCACTTTCATCTCCAGGAGGTTACACAATCACCTTCGTGTGCCTGGAGCATCGGGAGGGCAGAAGGTGTAGCCCTCGAGCTGAGGAGAAGCAGGTGCTGGCTGGTTAGTCACTGCACCCTCACTGCTGGCCCCAGCTGCCATCCAGATGGACGGTGCCTACTCCTTTGGGGTGGGGCTCCTGCCCCACTGCACTGCAGTTACCCCGTCCTGCCAGCTGCTCCAGGAACACTGAATGCATCCTTCCCAGGCTTCCCATCAGCTTGCACCTCTCCCTGTCACTGAAGAACTTGGTACTCTCCTTTCTAGGGACTCTCTCCCAGGCCAAACTCACTCCCATTTCCCTGCTTCCTCCACTTAAGATCTTTCTTTCTCTTGGATCTTTGGCCCATATACTGGACATTCAGTTCTGTTGCCCAGGATGGAGTACAGTGGTGTGATCTCAGCTCACTGCAGCCTCCATCTCGTGGGTTCAAGCTATTCTCATGCCTCAGCCTCCCAAGTAACTGGGATTACAGGCATGCACCACACCTGTCTAATTTTTGTATTTTTAGTAGACACAGGGTTTCGCATTGTTTGCAAAGCGGGTCTTGAACTCCTGGCCCCAGGTGATCCACCCACTTCAGCCTTCTAAAGTGCTGGGATTACAGGCGTGGGCCACCGCGCCCGGCCTGGACATTCAGTTCTATCAGATCTTCCCTGAGTGGAAGCGGAGGGCACTTCAAATGCCTGCAGGTTGGGAAAATGGAGAAGGTGGAAGCCGGCCTCAGGAATGGACAGGAGAACATTTCCTCAGCCCTTGGACTCCTGAGTGTCTTACAGCAGGATCGTGTTTTCAACTCTGTCCTCTACTGAGTCCCCTTTCAGAAGGCCCCCTTCTGTTCTTGTGGGGTGTCCCAGCCCAAGATGGGGTGGAGCGGGGTGGGTGTTCCACTCCATGAAAAGGTTGGCCATTTGAAGGAACGGGAATGATGAGGTGTGGCAGGAAGCTAAAGGTGGCCCTCCACTTTTGCTGACAGAGCTTCAGTGGCCTCAAAGACAAGCATCAGCCGGGCATGGTGACTCACGCCTGTAATCCCAGCACTTTGGGAGGCCAAGGCGGGTGGATCACCAGGTCAGGAGTTCCAGACCAACCTGATCAACTTGGTGAAACCCTGTCTCTACTAAAAATACAAAAATTAGATGGGCGTGGTGGCACATGCCTGTAATCCTAGCTACTCAGGAGGCTGAGGCAGGAGAATCACTTGAACCTGGGAGGAGGAGGTTGCACTGAGCCGAGATCACGTGACTGCACTGCAGCCTGGGCAACATGAGTGAAATTCCATCTCAAAAAAAAAAACAGGCCGGGCGCGGTGGCTCAAGCCTGTAATCCCAGCACTTTGGGAGGCCGAGACGGGCGGATCACAAGGTCAGGAGATCGAGACCATCCTGGCTAACATGGTGAAACCCCGTCTCTACTAAAAATACAAAAAACTAGCCGGGCGAGGTGGCGGGCGCCTGTAGTCCCAGCTACTCGGGAGGCTGAGGCAGGAGAATGGCGTGAACCCGGGAGGCGGAGCTTGCAGTGAGCTGAGATCCGGCCACTGCACTCCAGCCTGGGTGACAGAGCGAGACTCCGTCTCAAAAAAAAAAAACAAAAAAAACAAAAATAAACAAGCATCCAAGGACATTTGCCGGGTAGAGAAGCAGCTAGGGTTAGAGAAACAGATGTAGAAGCCCTTTTAGGGTCAGAACGAGATAAAGGTGGCCTGCAGGCCCACGTGAGTGAGCACCCACGGTGCTGTTCAATTCAGCGGCAGGGCTACAACAGACCCGAGACCCCAGGAAGGCTTCACAGAGACAGCTACTCAAGGTGGGCCTTGAAGGCAAGATGTAAGACATGAACGGTGGCCTCGCAGAAACAGACATTCCCTCAAGGGGGTGGGAAGCAGGCAACACCACAGAGGTGAGAAGGCAGCTGGCGCATTTGGGAATAGCCAGATCGTTCTAGCTGCTATGGAACACATGTATAGGGTATGCACCAAGCAGGGCTTCACCAGAGAAACAGAACCAGTAGGAGATGGAGCTATGTGGCAAGAGATTTACTGCAAAGAATTGGCTTATTCGTGATTGTAGGGGCTGGCTAGGAAAATTCTCAATTCTTGAAGCAGGCCATTAGGAAGGGCAGACTCAAAACTCAGCCAGGACCTGAAGCTGCCATTTCTTCTTTGGGGATTTCTTCTTTGGGGAAGCCTCAGCCTTGTTCTTAAAGTCATTCAACTAATTGGATCAGGCCCACCCAGGACATCTCAAATCATTAACTTGAAGTCAACTTTTCATTATTATTTTTTTAGACAAAGTCTTGCCCTGTCACCTAGGCTGGAGTGCAGTGGCACAATCATGTCTCACTGCAACCTCAATCTCCTGGCCTCAAATGATCCTTCCACCTCAGCCTCCTGAGTAGCTGGATTACAGGTGCACACCACCACACCTGGCTAATTCTTGTATTTTTTGTAGAAATGGGGTTTCACCATGTTGCTCAGGTTGATCTCCAACTCCTGGGCTCAAGTGATCTTCCTGCCTCGGCCTCCCAAAGTGCTGGGATTACAGGTGTGAGCCACTGTGCTCAGCCTAACATCAACTGATTACAAACATTAATCACATCTACAAAATACCTACACAGCAACAACTAAAGTAGCATTTGATTGAATAACCGGAGACTATAGCCTAGCCAAGTTGACAAAAAACTGACCATCACAAGTACCAATCAGAAAGGACAGAGGAAACAGAGAATGGGATCAACAGTGTTTTCCAAAACATGAAATCCTGCTTCTAGAGGTCTGTGAGAAGATGGCACACTGGGTGACTGTTGGAGATACAGGAGCTTGGTGTTAAGATAACACTGAGTTGAGAAAGGAAAAGCTAACTCCTGTTTAAACCCTCTCTCAGCCCTTCTGATTAACTGAGAGAATGTCCCAGTTTGGTGCTGGCTTGATTTTTTTAACATCTCTAAACTTGTTGATAACCTCCCTTTTTTAGCAAAATGAGCGGAATCTGGTAGTCACCAGTGTTGGACAGTATTTATTTTATTTTTTTTAATTATTATTATTATTATTATTATTTGTTTGAGACAGAGTCTCACTCTGTCGCCCAGGCTGAAGTGCAGTGGCGTGATCTCGGCTCACTGCAAGCTCTTCCTCCCAGATTCACTCCATTCTCCTGCCTCAGCCTCCTGAGTAGCTGGGACTACAGGCGTCCGCCACCACACCCGGCTAATTTTTATTGTATTTTTTAGTAGAGACCGGGTTTCACTGTGTTAGCCAGGATGGTCTCGATCTCCTGACCTCATGATCCGCCCGCCTCAGCCTCCCAAAGTGCTGGGATTACAGGTGACAGTATTTATTAATAAGAACATTTTCATTGTATTTATGTATTTATTTATTTACTTTCACAATTATTTTCTACATATGGCAAGTAATCTTGGTTTTCTTTTTTTCATAATTAAATATTTCCTTTTAAAATATATTTATGGAGGCCGGGCGCGGTGGCTCAAG